ATATTCAGTATACCCAGAGCTACAATAAAAGTTCAATAAGAGGGAGGGGTGAGGATCTTGTGCTGAACAGGGACACTCTTTGTAGTATATATTTAAAGCCCCACTGTGATGCAGTCCTTAATCAGGACTTGCAGGCTGTAATTAATAATCCTTGTTTCCTGCCTGACTTACTTAAGAGCCCATCAGTTTAGCCTGACTTTGACATGACATTATAAATGATCAAATTAATTTTTAGCCTAGTGAAGAATTTGCAGCAAGATGGGAACATTGTGCAACAAAGTGCTCCAAATGCCTCTTCCAAACAGTGCCACCTGGTAACTACAGAGCTTGGAATTCCTAGATCTGTAAAGTAAGAATGATTGGATTTACCTGTGTCATACATGGTGATCATAAATTTTTCCACCATGCCAGGTTACTCCAAACCCCATCCAGCCTGGCCTAGAACGATTCCAGAGATGGAGCAGCCACAGCTTCTCTGGGCACCCTGTGCCAGGGCCTCCCCACCCTCCCAGGGAAGAATTTCTTTCCAATATCCCATCTGTCCCTGTCCTCTGGGAGTGGAAGCCATTCCCCCTCATCCTGACACTCCAGGCCTTGTCCCAGATCCCTCTCCAGCTCTCTGGGATCTCCTTTAGGCACTGGAAGGGGATCTAAGGTCCCCCCAGAGCCTTCACCTCCACAGATGAACAACCCCGGCTCTCCCAGCCTGGTTCCAGAGCAGAGGGGCTCCAGCCCTCAGAGCATTTCTGTGCCTTCCTTGGGACTCACTCCAGCTGCTCCACATTCTTCTTGTGTTGGGGTCCCAGAGTGGAGGCAGCTCTGCAGGTGGGGTCTCATCTGAACAGGGCAGAGGGGCAGAATCCCCTTTTAATGAAACACCCAGGTTTGTACAATGAACCTACAAGAAAGGACAGAGAAATGCCTGGGCAATATTCAGTGCACAGTCATTCTTGGGAGCCCTGAGTTCATTCAGTGCTTGCTTGAATATTCCTTGGATTGGTCCTGGTGAAGTATGTAGTTGGTCTGGGGAATAGTCTCATCCTCAGAGAGAGGGATCTGGGACTTGGAGCCAGCCTTGGCAGGTTGTGGAGCTGCTCAGTACCTCAGCCAGTCCTCTGGGGAGCTTCCTTTCTGTGAGTGATGGCAGCAAAAGCCCCTACAGACACCACACCTGGGGGGGCTGTGAAGTCCTGGGGGTCTTTCCTGGGACCAGACTTCCCTGTGCAGACCTGGCTGGAGCTTGCCTGGTGGAGATTGCTACAGCCTTGCAGCCCAGAGTGCTAGGGAGAAAACCAGCTTGGTGGGGAACCAGCAAACTGCCTCAGCAGCTGCAGTGCTACAAGCAGGAGGTTTTGTGTTTTGAACTCTTTGTTAGGGTCAGGAGCAGCCCTTTGCTCTATATCGTGCAGGAACAAAAGTTCCCCCTGCTAGAGGCTTCCCTTTGAACCTTCTGCACTGGCAGATTGATCCTGCACCCTCTGTATGGTCCCTAAAGAGAGCAGGGCTTGCTGAGATCCTGCTCTCACATCATGTGGGCGAGTTTCCATGAGTTAATTTGCTTTGCTGCAACGGGCAGAAGCAGGGCCAGGTCTTCCCAGGAACCTTGAGTTTACAATCTGATCATCCACACCCAGCATCTCTGGGGCTGTGCACACACACCCCTCTCTTAGTGCTGTGGGCAGCCAAAAATTTGGGAGATCCTCTGTGAAAACAGCCAAGAAGGGCGGGGTACTCATTTTAAATTGAGGGTGACTTGAAAATTATTTTTCTGCATAGTGGCAAGTAGAGTCATAAACTTCTTGTAGTATTAATCATAGATGTGTTTTAAGGGAAGATTGTTATCTCTTGGTCTGTGCTGTGTTAGCAGCTGAAAGTCCCAGGCCTGGCTCTGCTAGGAGCTCTCCTGACACGGGGGAAAAGGCAGCTCTTGTTCTGGAGAAATAATAACACATAAAAGGAAAAATGAGGTGGTTATGGCCAATGGGGAACTGAAGTTCTGTTGAACAAACCGAAGGCTGCCCCTCAAAAAGGGGTGAGAAAGCAGAGAGAAGCTGGCCACTCTTCTGTCGTGTAATGGATAGTTGGATGATGCTACAGCTGCTCTCCTGCTCTCCAGCTCCACAGGGATAATTGCCCACGCCCAGCACTTCAGCGTGTGGATGGGACCGTGGTGTGAGGGCTGTGCTGGGATGAAAAGAGCATCTTCCATTTGCATCCCCGAGCAGCCGTGTGTGCGCACAGACAGGCTGCTCAGCCTCCACCGGAGCAATCCCCAGGGTGTCTGGGCAGGCAGGGTGATAATGGAAAAGGAATGCAGGGAGGGTAAGGAGAGAAAATCAGCATCCTGGGTAAAATCCTGCCCTGGTCCCCGGTGGCAGTTGGCTCCTCTGTGCACCATCTCTCCTCCCGCCCTCCCTGGGAAGGGCAGGCGCTGCCTGTACTTGTCATGCCAGTCACACACATGCTGGTGCACAGACTAACACCCTCCACAATAAATCTAAAAGATTAATTACCAGGGGAAAAAAATATCCCACAACCCCACTTGCAGCATTTGAAATGCATCTCAGCCAGTGCTCTGCTCTGGTTATTCATGGGGAAAAGAAATCACCTCCTGAATCGAGCAATTGAGAATGCAAATATCCCAGCCTGGCTCAAAAGAGGAATCAAGCTCTGTACTGTCAAGCTGATTAGCATCCTGTTCCGTGGGGTACTGCCCTGAGCCCAGAGGGAAAATTTGGGGACAACTGTGCTTAATGCTTAGGGATGAGGTTTCTGAGTTTTGCCCAGAGAGAAATTACAGTCTTGCTACGCCCCGTCTGATGACGGACCATAGAGATGTTTTCGTGTTCTCCTCACAGCGACTGCCCTTTCTCTGGTGAGATCTTTCAGCCTTTTGTTTCCTGTCACTGACCAGCTGTTTTTTGTGAGTTGAGTTTTTTTGTTGTTGTAAAACTGAAGCTTTCTACAGGCAGTGGAACAAAGATTTTCTTTTTTCTCTTGTGAGCAGGGAGGGAAAGTACATTGGAGCAGTTTCTCATGGGACTGGGACTTCTGCTTGCAAGAAGGATTTTACACTTTGTTTTGCCTATTTTCCCCTTTCCCTGAAAGCAGTGTAGATGCATCTTCCAGAAAGACTAGGAATTATATCGTGATCCCTTTCAGTCCATATCCCAGCAGTAGGGTGGGAAATGCAGCATTTGGGAGTTGGAAATACTCAACAAGAAAGGAGCAAAATTAATCCCAGTCTGCTCCTTGTTGTTATGTCCCAATGAACATAAATCCTCTGTAGCATTCCTTGTGGCCCGTTGCAGATGTCAGAGGGGAAAATAAAACAAGAGCTTCCCTATGAAGTGCTGTTCACCCCTTTTAGCCTTGTGCAGCAACATGAGTGTGGCTGGAAATCGCAGTGGCAGTGACAAGCAGTTTGTGCATCGTCTTTATTCCCCCAAAAAGCTGCTGTGCATCCTTGTTTCCCAACTTGATTTTTCAGCCAGACTTCGCTCTTCTTGCTCCATTTGCCATCCCCTCCATTTTTCCAAGTTTGCCTGCAGCAATGTCCAGGAGACTTTGGAGCTGTTGTGGCATGTGCTGGCAGGGTGGGCCTGTTGGTGAGGACAGATCCCTGGATATTTCACGTGAGATGTGTCCCAGGCCTTGGGTTTTTCCTGTCCCACCCTGACAGATCAGGCCTGGGCTGGGTTTGCTATCACTGCCCAAGTTAAGCCTCTCCTGTTGGATTAAAGCTGCAGAACAAGGGCTGTCACTGCCATAAAATCTGTGTTTGAAGTGGAATTTCCATTAAACCCTCCCATTTCTCACAACCTGCTGCTGTATCTCAAAATATAAAATTTGTCTTGGGGGCCTTTAGGCTGGAGATCAGGGGAAGGTTCTTCCCCCAGAGGGTGCTGGGCACTGCCCAGGCTCCCCAGGGAATGAGCACAGCCCCGAGGCTGCCAGAGCTCCAGGAGCATTTGGACAACCTTCTCAGACACAGGGTGGGAGTTTGGGATGTCTCTGTGCAGGGCCAGGAGTTGGAATTTGATCTTTGTGTGGTTCTGTAAATTAGAGCCACACCCTTTCAGTGTGGTGGCTGCTCTGCACATCCTTTACATAGAAATCCATGGGCTGTTCAGCATTCTCCTGCTCATTCCCTGCTGCAGCAAGTCCCTTCTCTTAAGGTTTCTTTGGTTTATTGGGAGAGCTGTTAATTGGAGGAGGAGGCCATTAAGTTTTGTTTTCATGTAAAGATTAAATTTTTGAAGATGTAAATATATGCAGTGTTCATTTTTGGCTAGTTCAGCTGATTGTGGTGTAACAACAATTTTTGGAATTTACAGTGAATGTGGCTGTGGTCCAGGGGTTGCTCGTGCTGGGACTTTTCTCCCAGTTTCATCTTCAAATCAATGCATGGGATAAATGAAAACAGCAGCAGCATGTCTTGGTGAAATCTGACATTTTCCCAGCATCTTCTGCACATCAGAGATTGGGCAACCATTGCCTGGGACAAATTTCTAAAGTAACACTGTGGTAAAGGGGAGGGTAATGATTTCAGGTATGTCCTAGCAGGGTTCATGACACCAGTGCTAACCATATGGGAGTTACTCTTTCCTTGGATCTTTTTTGTTTACTGGGTGTTATCTCCTTGATAACACTTTTGGGTTGCTCTTTTGCTCATGGGCTTGTCTCAGTTTAATTACACTACATATGATGGTTGCCATCCCTCTGTTGCTCATGGAAAGGTAGCTGAGCCTGTGTGCCTCATGTACAAAGAAATGGAATTTCCATGAGCTCACAACCTTCAGCTCTATCTCCAAAATGTGCTGGAAGCATTCCCTCCAGTTCCCTGCCTGGTGAAGCTGCTTCCTTTTGAGTTACAGCCATCAGAAACTATAAGAAATCTCAGTGTTTCCTGTTAGGGATAATGAGTTTATCATTGAATTTGTCTCCTTTCCATTCCATTTTTGGTCTTGCTAAAGAGGTTTCCCTTGTTTCTTCCCCAGAATGCCAGGACTGGTGGGCAGCAGGTTGCAGACAGAACACTTCTGCACTTCCTGCAAACTGCACAGTCTGTTCTGCTGTGAAAAGCCTTCACATAGTGACAGACTTCAGAGAGCTATCAGAAAAGCTCCAGAGGCATCAGCCTTTTCTAATCAAGGTAAGGCAGGGATTTGTGAGGCTGGGTGATGAGTCCAAACTCTTGAACAGCACAAGCCCAAAATCCCTACCCAGTATTTTCACCCATGAACTCAAACTGCTCATTCAGGACATGTGTCTGAGAATATATTTCACCCCAGTGTGAAGATGTGGGAGGAGAGAGCTCCCTGCATTGTTCCTCTGACTAATGATCATTGTATTTGGACACTTAGCAATCCATGTGGCTGTTGCTCTTGGATGTTTTCTAGTGGGAGGGAAATGGGAGCAGGGAGCAACCCCATGGGCACAGCTTTTATCTTTGTTTCATATTCTTTAAGACAGGGCAGCATCTCTCCTATGAAGAACTGAAGCATTTTCAGTCCCAGGATCCAGAACTGGCAGAGGTTATAATAGAAGAAAATTCAGCTGAATTATGGAGCTGCCCATTTTTCTTTCCCTGGTGAGTCAGACAGAACATGTGATGGATGGACACATCCTTTAGGGGTGCTCAGGCTCTGCCTGTGTGAACCTGAGTTCACACTCCAGTGCCTGCAAGTTGCAGTTTAACTGGAGAGAAGGTGTGCAGGAGTGGGTTACAGGCTGCTTCTGCTTGCTGGCACTGATTTGTTCTGAGGATGAGACTTCTGCACTAAAAGTAGAGAGTTGGTGCTTGGTCTCCAGCTATTGCTCCCCTTATAAGATAAAATTATCCCAGGGCCTGCCTGGTCCTGTTCTTCAGGCTGTAAATCCTCTGGGCTGTGATCTGATCACCCGAGACACTGGTTCACATTTCTATCACCTCTGTCTACTCAGTGGAAATCCTCTACCACTGGTGCTGACTGAGAAGAGGTGCTATGACTTCTGCAAACACTGAGAAGTAATGGAAAGTCAAAGAAGCCTGCAGTTTGTGTTTGGTCTTGTGCAGAAAATATGTCCAAGTCTAATCCTGCCCCTGTTAACCAAAAGCTCTTTGCCCCATAAAGGCCAAAGCCTTCAATATGAACAAGATGTGTGAGCAACTCAGAGTTCTCTGAGGTCTCAGAGTAAGCACTGGTAGAGGGATGGTCAGGGTACAGAAGAATTAATCATGTCAGTCCCCTAGACAGGGATGTAAAGATAACAAGCCCCAACTGGCCTTTTCCAGACACATTTCCTGGTCTAGAGAATAGCCTTGGATCCCCCTGCCTCACAATGTGGGTTCAGTTGTGGTTGTATATGATGCCACCTCTCTGCATCTTCTGTAATTAATGGATCTGGTCAATGACTTGGATCATTTTAAGGGAAAAGGAGAGAGAAATGAAGCTCAGGTATCCATAAGGATCTGTTTGTTCCCTCTTTACATGATCCTGATGCAGGAGCCCACAGGAGAGTGGGAAGGAGCAGATTTAGAGGCTGAGGTTGAATTTTGCTCCTGACTCCCAGGGCTAGTCTGTCATGCTGTTTATCAAGCATGAATGTTTGGCAAGACTTTTACCTGGAAAGAGCTTTTAAATGCAAACATTATCATTGTATGATGATTCTTTAATATGGGCTGGTTTGTTTAGGAACAAGTCTGTGAATAGATCCCAGATTCTCCAGGAATTTTTCCCTGCTTCCTCTTTGCTGTCCTTCCCCAAGACAGTGTCTCTGGAGAGCTGCTTCCTCATCCGCCACCCAGATTTGGGGAATAAGGTGAGAAATTCATTCCAAAGGCATTCTCTTCCTGTGCATGAGTTGTCTCCCAGCAGCTCTGAGGTTTTGTGGGATTTGCAGGGTATTTTTAGCTGTTTCAGTCCTGAAAAGGAGCTTCTGGGGTTGTATCAGTTCTGTCCATCCCTGTGTAAAGTGGCATCTCAAGGTGGCTTTGCCTCCCAGCACTTGTGTCTAGTTTGGGGCAGGAGATTCCCTGTGCCCATCTCCCTTGGAGCTGGAGATGCCACAGAAACAGAGGGACTTCAAAGATCATCTTGTTCCAACACCCCTTGCCTGCTCCATTCATGTATCTGGCCTTGCTCTATAGCTGGGTGAGGTCTTTCTGTGCACGGTTGGGCAGAATTGTTTCAAGAGTTGCATTTTAGGAGCTGCTCCTGGCAGTGAGTCTCACTCATTCTGAGACCCTTCAGGCTTCTGGCCTGATCTCCTCTGTGTTTTCCTGAGTTGTGGGGATGTGAAGGCTCTGCCTTGCCTTGGAGCAGAGGAGAACCCTTGCATGCAGCTGACCTCAGCTAAGATTCTGTGCTCCACTGGTAACTGGTGGAGCAGCAAATGTGTTGTTTGCTCTGTCTCACCTGCCTGCAGGGCAGTGACTGTCCCTGCTTTGGGCAGACAGAGCCAAGGAAATCTGGCCAGGCTTTTGAAATCCTCTCCTCTCATCCTAGAGCTACAGCCTGCACAGTCTCTTCGCTGTTGGGAGTGGGCAGCTCACCCTGACTGTTGCACCTCTGGACACGTGCAGAGGACACTGTGAGGTGTTCAAGGTGGAGCTGGAAGCTGGGGATTTGGGTGAGTACCAGAGCTGTGGCTGGCAGGGACTGGGAGTGCAATCAGGAGACTGCTTCCAGCCGGGTCTTTTCTGTCTGACACCTGGGATGGTGGTTTGTGCCATTGTCACCTCCAGACCGGTGTGTGCCTGCTTGTCACAGCACAGGGAGTGATCCTTCTGGACTGGGAGTTTGTGGCCTGGAACTCCAACACTGGAGATGCTCCAGGCTGAGCAGTGTGGGTACACAATGGGTATTGCAAACCCAGTGCCCACTGAGGGAAGAGTCTTTCCAAAGAGCTCCAGCACGACCACATCCCTTTGTGGGGAATGGGAGCACTCGTTAAGGATGGACTCATCTAACAGAGCCTCTCCATTGCCTCTTCCCAAGGTTATGCCAGCACAGATCACTGGACAATGAGCTTCATGGCCAGAGGGACAGAGCCAGCAGTGATTTGTGATGGAGCTGCCAGCTAAGGATGCTGGGGTGGGAAAACAGAGCTGTTCCCAGGACAAGAAGACTTTCAGCTTTGAAACCAAGGCAACGTCTTGAGAGGAGCGAGCCGGGGCAACTGGGGCAGGCAGCTTTGCCACCCTGCATGTTTACAGTGTTTAAAAAGGACTATTTTCCTGACCCTTGAGGTAATCCTTTGCCTTTCCTCAAATGTATTTTGGGAGAAGCTCAAGCTATTTATGACCCTCCCTGTCCCCTCAGGTAAGCCCTGGGTTTGCAGCAAAGGGTTTTTTTTCCAGGAGCAGCAGATGGATTTCTCAGGATGAGATTCACCTTATGTTCTTTGTGGATTATGGCACTTCTGAAACTTCCTGGGGGGTTTGGGAGTGGATGGGGTGTGTGACATTTCTGTGTACATTCCTCCTGAGGAGGAAGCTTTGAGCCTGTGTAGTCAGGCCAGTTCTATAAAGGGAATGGATTGGTGATGTGTCCCAGCTCTCACGTCCGCAGCTGTGTGAGCCCTGCAGAGCTGACCTTGGCTCCTGCTCCCTGGCTGGGGAGAGCCTTGAGCCTGAGGGCAGAAGCTCTCACCCACTGCATCCTTCTTGTACCAAAAGAATCCCTTCAGGCCTCTCTGTGTTGTGATCACCCTTCTGCAGCTCCCTGTCAGCAGGTTTCGAGTGAGTCAAATGGTAATTGTGCTTTTCTTCACCTCCACTTCCTTTCCTGCAAAAACACTGACACACATCTTAGAGGTGCTGGCAGTGCAGAAGTTCTGGATGGAGCTGAGGCTGGGAGAGAGCAGCTCTGTCCAGCTTTCACCTCAGACACCAAGGGCTGCACAGCCGTTCTCAGCTGCTCCTTGTTTTTGGAGGCGCTGCCTGCGTTCCCAGCCCACGGTTCCTCTGGGAGCACCTGAAACCTCCCTCTTCCCTGGCATATTTTTGCATTGACTCCTTCCAGACCTGGAACTCTGTCTTCAGAATGAACGTTGGTTTTTCCTGGGTCCTTTCCAAGCTGCCTTTGCGTGTTTCCTGCTGCTGGAGCAGCGCTGTCTCCAGTGCCCTGAGAGAGGCTCGGGTTCGGTGTGTGCAGACTGCGGATGCTCCGGTCCCTTCCAAGTCTGATCCTTTGGGTCTGATCCCACTGCTGAAGATCATTTACAGATGTGTCAGGCTGAACTCATAGGCCAGGGCTGGAGTTCAGGACATACTCTCACACTTGTTAATATGGAGTTGGGAGGGGTTTTGGTTGACAGCGAGTTAACTCTGTTCTCAGGAGCAAGAGCCTTTTTCACTGTAAATATTTTAGGTACATGTAAAATGACAGATTGGGAAAATGTCTGTCCAGCCTTTGTTTTTGAGGAGAATGGGAGCAAACATTGTGCTAATCTGATTAGGAGTTGACAAAAGCTGCCAAGTGGGATGACCACTTCTGGCTCCTGTACAAGAATAAGGCAGAGGACAGTTCCTGCTCCAAAGAATTTAGTCTGAGGCCTTGACACTATAAACATTTCTATGCATAATCCTTATTTTTCTCCTGTCAAAACAATGAGAACAAGCCCAGCACCTGTGTCAGTCTGTGCATGGCCCTTGGTGCTGAACACACACCAGATCTAGTAGAACCAAAAGGGGAGAGTTTGGCTCTCTCAGGATAGAAAAGGACTGATATAATTTGCTACCAAGTATTAAAGGGAATTGGACTAATGAACTTCCATTAGTGTTCTCACTGCTTGGAGTGTATTTCACACTCATGACACTACATTAAATCTTGTACATGCCAAGACACACACACACACCACCCCTCTCCCTCCTCTTAAAGCCTGGGTCTTAGTTAATGGAAATTTGGGAGTTCAGTGATGGCAGAATTAGGGCCTCATTAGTGACTGTTGCTGTTTACACTTTGGCAGCTTCTCAAATCAAATTCAAAGGCTGACCAGGTTACTTCACCTCTTACTGCTTTTGTATCTGACCTGTTTTTGTAAAGCATTTGCTCAAAGATGCTGCTGGAGCCATTCTTGCTGAGATCGCGGCGGTTCGGTGACACTGTCACCACTAAGTGTCCTTGACTGTAACTTGTAAAAGAGCTGCGGAGACAATTCCCAAGTGTCTGTGAAATGCCTGGATTCTGAGAGTCATACTTAAGCCATTGTGGCTGTCTGGCTCTTTCGGGAAGAAGCAGAGAAAATGGATCTATTTACAGTTGCTGTTTGGACTGGGGGGAGGAGGGGGAGGAAGGGGCAGGTTTGTGTCTGTTTAGCAGAAATGTTCTCACGTAGTGCTTCTCCCTTCCTCCAAGAGTTGCAGCCTTCCTTGAAGAGTTGCAGCTGGTTGGACAGGAGCTGGTGAGTCTGGCCTGTTTGCAGAGCAGCCTTCCAAGTGCACTTTATGGGCTCTGCATAAGTTTCCAGCTCTGTCTCAGCGATACATTGCATATGTCCCAGCCTCGCTCCCTTCGGAGCTTACATCATTTGTTTTTAAGCTCTCCGGTATATTTTCTCTTCCTCTTCCAAAGGCTGTAAGGAATTAGCTGCTAAACTAAAACAGGAGGGCAGTTCTCCTGCTGATAGAGTCAATTTTGGCCGAAGTGCAGAGCCCCAGTCTGCAGCACGGCTTCCAGAGCAGCTCCTGTTTCCAGCTGCCAGAGGAGTGGTGCTCACACCTTCCACATCCCAGGGCAGGCAAGGAGCCACAGTGGGAAACCCAGAGGTGAGGCCACAATGGCAGAATTGGGATGGCCAAAGGGTGGTTTTGATACCTTTATTGCAATTAAGCCCTGGTCGTCTTCCACATCCAGAGCTCCAGCTTTACAAAGTCCCTGGAAAGGAGCAGGACTTCCCTAGGGAGGCTGGTGGTCCTAGTGGCCTGCTGAGGTGGAACAGGGCTGTTCCTGCAGCTACTGAGGTTTCACAGCCATGATCACATGAGTCACAGAGGGGGTGTCCCACCATGGTCTCACTCACCTCAGCTCTTCTTTTGCACTCTCTGTGCTGGTTTGGACAATCTCCCCCTCTGCCCAGCTCACACAAGTTCCCAGTTAATACATTTTGAAATCCCTTTGTGTGCTTTAGAGCCCATTGCCTGTGAGCTGGGAGATGGAATCCTCCTCACCCCACATCCCAAAGGCTGCAAAGCTGCTCTGAAATCACACCAGAAATTGGTACTACCCACGAGCCCAGTGGGCAGAGGTGAGGAGGGGTCACCTCTGCACTTGCCAGGCTGGAAGGACAGGCTGTCCCTGTCAGCTGGGCAGGAGGATCGTGGTTTAAAGCTGCTCCCCAAAGCAGGGGTCACTGACCAGTGCTGTCAGTCAGTCCTGAACTCAGGGTAACTGAAAGGAGGAGAAAGGATTATTATGATTTACTTCAGTACCAGGAAATCAGCGGCCCCCACGGGAGCCAACCTGGCAGTTTCTATTGATTCTTTTTTTTGCTTTCTTTGTTCCTTTTCATTTTTTTCCCTGCCCACTGTTTTTGCACACATTGATTCCCCTGAGGGATCTCTCTGCAAGGCCCTGGAGAGCTTTGAGTCAGATTTCCCGTGAGTCTCCAGAGTGCAGCTTCTCCCACCAGGCCTGTTTTTGCAGTGTTCTGGAGGAGAAGCTGGTTTGTCTGGGCTGGATCACCTCTCTTCCCTCCTGGGCTCCAGCAGCAGCAGGAGGAGGTGGGGAGCAGGAAAGCATCTCATGGTAGAGATGAGAGCTCTCTAAACACCAGTGTCTCAGAAAAGGGGATCCTTCTGCCTTGAAACCCTCTTGTTCCCTCTCTCCAGGAGGGGACTTTCCCCACACCCCAATCCCAGGTCCTCGTTCAGCCTCGTGGCCCCCAAGAGAATTGAACATTTCCTGGGGTGAGGCCATTTTGATGGGTGCACAAAGAGCTTCTGCTTCCTGCAAACCAAACTTTCTCCTCTTGGTGGATTTTATAGGTAGAACTCGAAATCCTCCTCTTCAGGAACCTCCTCCTTGTAAAGGGCAGATTTAGTGTCCTACTGAGTTAGACAAGGGAGATGCTGGACTTCCCTTTGCTTTGGAGATTCAAAAAAATGGCAGGTGATTTATTTTTAGCATTATCTCCTTGTCTTGTGGAGGGGAGCCACATTCTAAAGGCTCAGAGGTGCTGGGAAGTAAAGCTATATATGCATAAAGACTGTTTCAATGCTGAACACTAAACTTAGTGATGGATTAAAAAAAAAAAAAGAATGTGAATATGCACTTAATGCAGAATTTTATGGATGGTCCTAATTTAATATATTGCAAACTTTGTAAATACTTGGGAAAAGCCTGTAAAGTATGTAAATAAATGAGATTTGTATGTAAGAAGAATAAAAAAGTTTTTAATTTTTGCAATTAAATACAAGTGTTAATGACCCTTTTCCCTTTTCCTGATTTTTATTTTCATGTTGCATGTCAGCTATTGAGGGGTTCTTTAACATTTTTTGGGGCACTTTTCCTAAGGGAAGTGTAATTTTAAATGAAAAGTCAGAACACTTTTCTTAGGAAAATGTCATAAGAAACACTTTGTGAAAAAGGAGCAGTTTAGGAAATGTTCTGTGGGTTTTAGCCTGATTCTCTGAACAAAGGTGATGCAACAGCTCTGCCTGTCCCTCCTTTCTTTTCTTCCCAGCAACAATCTCCATATTTCCTTCACATTTGAGTTGATTTTAGCCAAACGTTGAGGCGTGGAAGATGATAAACTCCTCCAGAGCTCATAAATCCAGGCGAGTAGGGAGAAAAGAGAGAGAGATCCTGTTACTCCCACAGCAGTGCAGGAGCCTCGTTAGACACCGGCCAGCGCCGCTGGAGACCCTCGAGACGTGAGTCAGTAGAAGCCCAGGCTTGGTCACTTTGTGCTGCAGAGTGGGGCCAGCAGGCTGGAGCAGAGCCTGTCAGGTGTTGGTGTGTGGCTCCTGTCCCTGTCCCCGTGCAGTGGCTGCTGCTCCCTGGTGTGGGGGGAAGGAAAGCTGCAATTCACATGTCCTGTCCCCGCAGAGCCCGTGGTTTGGTTGTTCCAGCCAGCCCTGAGGGCAGCCACAGACTCCCAGCTCTCCTGTTTGGGGCCAGCTCAGCTCTGTACCCTGTTCTTCCTCTCCTGCTCCCCCTCTCCTGATGGTTCAGGGAAGAGGCACCAGCCCTCTGCTTGCCCCTGTTCCCAGCAGGTCTGGCAGCCCAGGGGGATGTTCCTCAGCTGCCAAATGCTGTCCCCCCATCACAGACACGGGGCTGGCCGAGGTGGGCTCCGGCTCTGTCTGGGGAGTTGCTGTGCTGCAAAGTGCTCTCAGCAATTGCATCCTGCTGCCTTTGTTTCTAAGGCAGCTGCATTCCAGGCACGGGGGAAGACCCGTGTGAAAACAGGGCTTTGTCAGCTGCTGTGGGATTGTTGTTACAGATTGTGGGTGACACTGTGGTGGGTATTTACTACAGGGCACCGGTGAGGAGGAGGAAGCTGATGAGGTTTTCTCTGGGCAGCTGGAAGTTGCCTTATGGTCAAAGGTCCTGGTTCTCCTAGGGAGCTTCAACCATCCTGGTATTTGTTGGAGAGATTGGAAGTCCAGGAAGTTCCTGCAGATCATTGAAAATAACTTTGATACAAGTGGTGGAGGAGCCAAGGAGGGGAGGTGTGTTTTTGCTTTGTACTAGCAAACCAGGAGGGATTGGTTGAAGTTTGGAAGGTTGGGGAAAGCCTTATCTGCAGTGGCCCATGTTATGGTGAAAGTCAGGGTCTTGTGTGGGAAGCAAAGCAGTAGCAGGGCTAGAACCCTCATTTTCCAGAGAGCCAGTTCAACCTTTCCAAGGACCTACTTAGAGGAATCCCATGGAATAGGGCTCTAGAAGGGAAGGGGGCCCAAGACAGCTGGTCAATATTCAAGCATCCAAACTCAAGACCAGTGATCATCCCTATGATCCAGAAATCAAGCAAAGAGGACAGGAGACCTGCATGGAAGAGCAGTGAGGTTCTAGCAATTCTCAAATGGAACAAAGAAATTGATGGGGTGTTGAAAAAGGGACAGGCACATGAGAGATCTATAGGAACATCTTTGGCGTACTCAGGGATGCAAGGAGGAAGGCCACAGCCCACTTGGAACTGAGTCTGGCAAGCGACATCAAGAGCAACAAGAAGGGCTTCTCCAAGTGCATTCAGCAGCAAAAGGAAGATAAGGGAAAATGTGAGGCTGCTGCTGAATCCGCTGCGTGTCCTGGGCACAGAAGACACAGAGAAGGTGTAATTACTCAAAACCTTCTTTGCCTCAGGCTTTACTGCTGAGAGCGGCCCTCAGGAATCCCAGATGTTGGAAGTAAGAGATGAAGGATGGAGAAAGGAAAACTTCCCCTTGATCACAGAAAGTTGAGAGAGATCAGCCAGGCAGATTTAACACCCATAAGTCCATGGTGGGATGCACCCACGGGTGCTGAGGGAGCTGGCAGAGGTTGTTGGTTAGCCATTCTCCATCATCTTTTAAAAACCCTGGAGAATGAGAGGTGCCCAATGACTGGAGAAAAGCCAGTGTTAAGTCTTGTCTTCAGAAAGGGCAATAAGGAGAATCTGTGAAATTCCCAGCAAGTTAGCCTCACTTTCATCCCTGGAATGGTGATGGAACAGCTCATTCTGAAGGCCACCAGGCACCTGAAAGTAAAGAAGGTTACTGGGAGTGGTCAGCATGGATTCACCAAGAGGAAATCCTGCTTGACCAGTCTGATGCCCTCTATGATGGCACGGCAGGATGGGTTGATGAGAGGACAGCAGTGAGTGGTGTCTACCTTGACTTCAGCAAGGTTTTTGACACTGTGTCCTGTAACATCCCCATGGATAAGATCAGGAAATGTGAGCTGGATGAATGGATAGTGAGGTGGATCAAGAACTGGCTCAATGGCTGAGCTCAGAGGGTTGTGAGCAGAGCAGAATCCAGCTGGAGGCGTGTAGTCGGTGGCATTCCCCAGGGATCATTACTGGGTCCAGTCTTATCCAACTTGTTTATCAACAGCCTGGATGAAGGGATGGAATGGACCCTGAGTTTGATGGTGGTACAGAACTGGGGGAGTGGCTGATCCACCTGAAGGCCGGGCTGCCATTCAGAGGGACCTGGACAGGCTGCAGAGCTGGATGGAGAGGAACCTAATGAGGTTCAACAGGAGCAAGTGCAGGTCCTGCACCTGGGGAGGGACAACCCCAGGTACCAGCAAAGACTGGGGGTGACCTACTGGGAGCAGCTCTGCAGAGAGTGACCAGGGGGTCCATGAGTTGACCATGAGCCAGCAGTGTGCCCTGGGGCCAGGAGGGACAATGGGATCCTGGGGAGCATTGGGAAGAGTGTGGTGAGCAGGTCAGCAGATCCTTACCCTCTGCTCTGCCCTGAGGAGGCCATATCTGTGTTCAGTTCTGGTCTCCAAGAAAGACAGGAGTTACTGGAGAGAGTCCAATGGAGGCCATAAAGATTATGGGACTGGAGCAGCCCTCTGTTGAGGAGAGACTGCTGGAGCTGGGCCTGGTTAGTCTAGAGAAGAGAAGACTGAGTGGGATCTCATCAATCCATATAAATATATCAGGACGTGTCAGAGGATGGTGTCAGACTCTAGTTCTGCCCAGCAACAGGACAAGGAGCAATGGCCATAAGCTCAAAATACAAGAAGTTCCACCTCAAGACAAGAAAAAACTTAATTCCATGGAGGGTGGCAGAGCACTGGAACAGGTGCCCAGGGAGTTATGGAGTCTCTCACTCTGGAGATATCCCAAACCCACCAGGATATGTTCCTGTATTGCCTGTTCCAGGTGATTTTGCAGAGGGGTTGGACTGGATGATTTCCAGAGGGCCCTTCCAACCCCAGCTATTCCGTGATTTTTAGAAAAAGACTAGGAGGTAAACAAGGGGACCCATAACTGAGGGCTCAGGGGATGGCTGAGGTTTGGATGAAGAATGCAAATCCAGGGATTGGGATTCAGGCATGGAGAGTGACCATGCATGTTGGCACCAGCCCCAGTGCAGCCTCTCCATCAAGGCCGATATGTGACACGGGTGTGTCCCACGTGGCTTCAAAACTCTAATAAATACATTTCCTCCCCAGTCTTCAAGCAGTTGGGTGTTCCTGGCTCTTGGGAGGTGCTTTAAATCTGACTGCCAGAGCCGTGGGCTGCTGAGAGCAGAAGCTGCCTGCACGATGCTGAGCTCAGGTCTTCCTCCCGTCCTCCTGGTGCTCTCAGTGCTGGAGCTGAGCTGGTGCCTGAGTGATGAAGAAAAGAAGATCATCTTGGATGAGCATAATAAATATCGCTCCCAGGTCTCTCCTCCTGCCAAGGCTATGATGAAGATGGTAAGTGGCTTTTATTACAGAGGAATATTGGGGTGTTTGTGTGGTCCAAGGCTGGATCTTAATGCGAGGAGGGATCAGGGAGTTCCTCAGGGGAGGCAGAGCAATTCTCATGTAGGGTTACAAGTAGGTGTTAATGGAGGGGTTCCCTAAACTGCCTCTAAAGAGAAGAGTTTCCTTTACCTTTGGAGTGTCTTTGGTCATTTTCTGGAAGTTCCTAAGTGTGATGTGAGTCCCCAGATGCTGTTCCATGAGAGTGATGCAGCTCTCACTCACCTGAGTGCCTGCTGGAGCTCCCTGTGATGGCAGAAATGGCAGGTGAGACCCTGCCATGAGCAGGTGCCTGGGGACTTTGGCATTGTCATTGCCAAGAGGTGGTGGGGGAATCCTGCTGTGTGGGACATCACACAGTGCTCTGTATTTGCATCAACTTCAAACATGTTGGTCAAGTCTGTCAGTTATTTGGGCCCATCATGTTCCTACTCCTCCCCATGCCTTGTGCAGAGCTGCCTTGGATGTGAGGGATCCCCTGTTTTGCTTGTGGAAATTGAGCCAGGTCCCACATCATGTGTGGTTGCAGTGGGAGCAAAACTGAGCTCTAGAGCTGGTGCTTTTTGTCTTGCTCAGACTCTTGATTTGATTAGAACTTGGTTATGAAGTTTTATCTTGCACCACATGTGATTTTTCCTCATTGTTTGCAAATCATGGGGAGGAGAAGGACAACTGTTTGTCCTGGAAAGTTTGAGCCCTTTCCTTCTTTGGTCACAGTGTGCTTGGAGGACACCTCCCTGTCTGGCCCAGAAGTTGCCCAGAATGAGTAAAGCCTTTGTGGGCTGGTAAATGGGAGTTTAACAACCAAACAAAGCCAAAAATTCAGGGAGAGAAGGCCTGACCAGTGACTGCAGACTCAAAGGGGACAAAGCCAGAACCCTCAGCACTGTGATGGTTTCTCCACACTGAGTTGAGGATGCTCCATGATGGTGTTAGATGAGCTCCAGGAGATGTTGTGAGAGTCATACTGGTGCCCTGACCTTCTCCTGTTTGACCCGTAAACCAAGGCTTGTGCTGGGACTGACCATGGAGCTCCCCTCTCCTGAGGACTCTGTTGGGTAGGGGTTTGAATTTTCCTCATGGATGGGGAAACTGCAGCCAGACAGTGCAGGGTGCTTGGTGAGTGCCTTGTTCCTGTTGGAGAGCCCAGTGTCCCTCCCTGTGTGCTGACACCGAGCTCCTTTCAGACCTGGGGCACAGACCTGGAGGCTGATGCTCAAAAGCATGCAGAGAAGTGCAAGTGGTCCCAGAACAGGGGCCCAGGCAGGTTAAACCTCTTTGCTACACCTTCAGCCCTGGATGTAAAATTGGCCATTGAAGAATGGAACGCAGAGAGGAAATTCTACGACTTGACAACATCCACATGTGTTTCCACGCAGACGTGTGAGAACTACGTCCAGGTACCAGCTGCTGGGGTGGAGGGCCTGTTGGGACTCCTAAAATCTTTGCAAAAGGACAGGGAACCAGGTGGGATTCACAATGATAGAGGCAGACCTGGGCATGGTGTCAGTCATGAGTGCCCTTTGGAGAAGAACTTTTATGAGACAAGCCCTGCAGCCATTTTTTTGGCTGCTCAGCAGTGCCAGCTCAGTGCCAGCTTGTCTTGGGTGGAATGATGAGGTCCAAGTGTTTCTTCACAGCTTGGGTGGGAGCAAGGAGGAGAAGAGATGGTGGTGGCAACTGGATGGATGGATGGATGGATGGATGGATGGATGGATGGATGGATGCATGGATGGTTCCAAGACCATAGCAGAGGTGGTGATGCTCTGCCTGGGTAGACTATATGGTAGGAGAGCTTTGGCACTGGAATATATGACCTTGGGAAGGTGGTTCAGACAGGGTCAAGGGGGAAGGGCCAAAACAACATGGGAAAAGGCATCTGGGGCACGTGCTGGGAGATGAGGAAGATATTCCAGCAGACTTTAAGGCCAGGGGAGAGACTGCCTTCAACCAGTCCCCTCACCTTCAGCCCTGGTCTTTGCCTTAGGTTGTCTGGGCAGAAACAACTCACATTGGCTGAGGGAGTAGTTATTGTGAGATCACTGATGGAACTGAAACAGAGAACGTGCACCTGCTTGTTTGCAACTATTATCCTCCGTAAGTCCCAGGCCCCAATATCCATCCCCTGCTCTGTTCTGAGGGGGATGAGGGATCTGCTGCACGGAGTTGTCTGCCCTGGCTTTAGCTGCCTTGGGGTCAGGCTGGTGAGTAAATGGCCCTGACAGGCCGTGGCAGGACACCAAGACCTGTTTGCTACATTAATCCCAAGTTTTGCCTTGGCTGGGATATCCCAGCTGAATCAGCCCCCTCTCTGGGATGGGTGTTTCCCCTTTCCTCATGTCTTCTTTATCTTGGCATTTTCTGCTTCCAGGAGTAATGTAAAGAAAAAAAAGCCCTACCGGGATGGACCCTCGTGTGAAATGTGCCCCATGGACACAGTCTGTGTGAACAACCTGTGTGGTGAGTGAGGGGAGCCCTGGAGGGGCTGTTGGGACTGAGACCTGGACTGGTCTGAGCTCTGAACCCTCCTGGAGCTGTCAGGAAGCCTCTGAACTTCAGTTCCAGGGCTGGACCATGAGACAGGAGCAATTGCTGCTCCTAACAGGGGGCAACTGCCTCAAGATGAGGAGGATTGTTCAAGGGCCTTGTACTCCATTAGGCAGCGTTTTTTGCCCCTTGTGGGGCAGGAGGTTGTGAGGGCCATGAGATGTCTCCAGATTGGGAACCCCCGAGTGGGGAATGGCCCAGAGTGACCTGGGAGGGCTCAGCTGCTGTTTCAGCCCCTCATTGGTTTCTGTTGGTTCTGCTCACTGTGTGGATCTGTGGAGGTGAACCAGTCCTAACCCATGGCACTTTTCATCTCTGCATCTCTTTCATCCACCCTAACAGCCCTGCCAAAACTCACAGCCACAGCCAAACCAGAACCCACAGCATCAGAGGCCACCATAACCACAGCCAAGCCACCATCCACAAACTCACTTCCAACCACAACCACAGCCAAGCCATCCCCACAGCCACACTGTCAAACACAGCCAAGCCCAAACCCATCACAAACCAAAACCTGCCACCACTCCCCCAACAACAACCCCAGCAAGGCCAAAACCAACAACACCAAAACCCATGCCAACTCTGGCTGAGTCAAAACCCACCACAACTCTGGCTGAGTCAATATCTGCTGCGACAACACCAGCATGTGCCACGAATGCTGATGGCAAAGGCATGACTAAAAACTGGCACAACCACAAAGCCAGAGCACAAAGACCTGATCCTGTTGAGGCAACCAGGATCACTCTTTCCTGTGAGCCCAAGTTAGACCCATCACCAGAGGTAGAGACAGGCAATGGAGAGCCTCTTAGCTCCTTCACTAAAGAGGATCTTCTACTCTGACTTCATCTTGTCTTCTTTTCCTTCCATATCTGCCCTGGACACAGAAGAACAGGAGACAAACTCAGACCAGACAAGTGTGGATCTGCCCAAAGGAGGAGCCCCCAGTACCTGCTTGGGCCTTTCGCTCTTCCTCCTCCCCAGTGCCATCCTGGTGGGCCTTCTGCTCTGAAGGGTCTTCCTCAGCTGTCCCTGCACCCCTCAGCAAGGCTTTTGTCAGTGCTGGTTGTTCCACAGCCCTGGTAGGCTCAGGAGGCTCCTTGGACAATTCACACGCTCCCTCCTTACGCTGCCTTCTCTGCTGCTGCCCCGGCGAGCCAAGGCTGATGCTGGGGGAACTTTGTCCCCTTCCTGAGGAGACCTGAGGACAGGAGGGTGTTTGCCATAAAGCTGGTGACCTTGGATGCTTCTCCTTTTTCCTGGCTTTTGTTCTATTTCCAGGGTGGAAGTGTTGAGCTCTCCCACCCATCTGCCCATGTGGCTGGCAGGCCCTGCCACCGCCTGACCCCGGGGACAGCAGGGTGACTTGGGGACAATGAGACATGGTGGTTGGCTTTGGTGTTTGCAGATGAGGCACAGTGGTTGGCTTTGGTGTTTGTCAGGAGGAGTTTCCTGCAGAAATGCTCTTTTCCCTCCCAGTGTATTTCTTTCAGTTTTGGACATACTTTATCTCTTTCCTATCTTGTCCAAGTAGAGTGTCTATTTGGGATTTCTGTTTCCTCCTGGTTCTGGTGGAGCTCTGGCCGGTACTGCCCAGCTGTTCACCCCTCTCCTCACACTCTGCAGCCCATGCCTCTTCCCTCTCTCCTCCTCCCTCTCTCACTCTCTGGCACATGTCCCATCCTTCAGTCATTCCAATGCCACAGATTTATTTCACGCGTGTGCCTGCACAGAAGAGAAACCTTCAGAGCTGAGAGAGGCCACCAGCTCCTTCATGTAGCTTTTCCCTGCATGGCTTCATTCTTTGCATCATTTCAGTGTATTTGAATTTAAATACAGATCCTGATTCATGTGCAACTTGTGTGTGTGTGTGTGTGTGTGTGTGGTCAGGAAGAACAAATCCCCACATGTGTTGTTACGATCTGAGCCCCAGAGATAAAAGTGATGCTGTTACAGGTCACTGGTGGCTCTGCTGCCCGGCAGCACCAGCCGTGTGCAGGAGCCCCGCTGCCTGCGGGCTGCTCCGAGCTCCCAGCCCAGCCCAGCCAGGAGGTGACCAGCAGATGGCCCTGGGAGAGGCACCGCTGAGAACCGGGCAGCCCAGCTGGCCCCGCACACCCTGCCCGCAGTTCTGAGCTTTATTTCATCGCCAGCCTCGGATGTAGTGAAGAACCAGATTAAAAATAACCTCGTGCCCAGGTGCCGTGGCTGCTGCACGCTCTGGGAGCAGCTGAGCTCCTGCTGCCGAGCTGCCCTGGGGGAGAAATCCCTCCCTGCCTTATGGACAGCTGATGAAAATACAGCCCCAGAGGCTGCTCCTCAGCCTGGGAGGGGAGAGGGCTCGGAGCTGGGAGAGCATTTCAGCACCTCGTCTGCTTTTGCATCTCAGTGAAGGGCAGCGTGGCAGTCCCTAAAAGTTCCCTAGAAGCACTACCAAGAGCAGAAAACCATTTCTCCTCCCAGCAAGACCAGGGCACTCGGGCAAACCCTGATTTTGTGCAGGGCTGGATCCCCCACCCTGCCGAGAGCCATCGAGGCACAGCGCTGCTGCTGATTATCAGCCACCAACAGAATTCCAGGAGTGAAGTGTTTTATCACTGGTGTGGGGCTGTGAACCTTGTGAAAGCTCTTCTTGAGTTTTGTTTTCCTGGAGGTTTTGACTTGTGGGGACAGGCTGTTGTGCAAGGACCTATTTATAGAGATGCCTGCAGCAGAGAACTCCAACCCAGAAGGAAATCCGCTTTCCTCCTGCCCTGCTCCCCGGGACAGGGGGCTGAGCCTGCCCACACAGGCATCTGGGGGGCTTGGCTGAATGCTGAATTTGGGGCTTTAGGCAAGGGCAGGGTTTGGGGTGGTGCACAGGGGAGTGCACACCAACTTTCAAGGCAGACTTGTGCAGCATTTCCACTCCATTTCTGGGGCTGGCATAAAGGGGACTCTGGCCCTGGGGTGACCCTGGCAGAGATTCTGCCAGGTTCTTACAGCCCTGTGCCCTGTGTGCTGGAAGGAGGAGAAGGCATTACCCATCAGCTGTGCTGACTGGGGTGAAATGGTGGGATTTGTGGTGTTTATGAGGCCTGGCTTCTTTATGAACCTCACCTGCTGGGTTCCCTCCATCCCTGAGCCTGTTCCCAGCAGGGGCAGGGAGGTGTTTGCTGCTGGCTGAGGGAGAGAAGGTTCCTTTGCTTCAGCTGCTGAATCTCCCATGAATGCAGTGGGTCAGAAGGGTTGGGGTGAGCACCTACACCCTGCTGGCTATTTGCATTTGGGGTTATGCTGCTGGCAGTTCCATCCAGCTTCCAAGTATTCCCTCAGAGTGTTTGGGCTGAAAATGCTGAAAATGCTCTCACCACAATGTCCTGTGAGGGTCTGGGGAGAACCCACCTTTCTTGATCTTGCTTCCTGGCTGCCTTTTGCTAAAAGGTGTTGCCCTTCAAGGCCATTGCAACCATCTACAAAACTAAAACAGGAGGGCAGTTCTCCTGGGAGTAAGGAATCTCTTTTGGCCAAATCTGCAAAGGGCCAGTCTGCAGCACGGCTTCCAGAGTAACTCTTGTGTTCAGCTGCCAGAGGGGAGTGGTGCTCACACCCTCTGCATTGCCAGGGTGGGAAACCCACAATGGCAAAACTGAGATGGCCAAGGGGAGGTTTTGATACCTTGGCCAAAGAGCTGCAAGTGAGCCCTGGTCATTTTCCTCACCTTGAGCTCCAGTTTTACAGATCCTTGGAAGGGCTGCAGGAGGCTGGGACCTCCTCAGAGAGTCTGGTGTTCCTAGTGACCTGCTGAGGTGGAATTGGGTGGGAATGGGGCTGTTCCTGCAGCTGTTGAGGCATTGTGGTGACAGACACAATCAGATGAGTCACAGATGGGGTGGCCTCCCTCACCTCAGCTCTCCTTGGCACTCACTGTACTGGTTTGGACAATACCCCCCTCTCACCCTGCTCAGCTCAGAGGGATTCCCAGTCAACACTTGTGTCCCAGCATTTTTAAATAATAGAATGGATGAATGAATGAATAGTGTGGAAGATGATAAACTCCTCCAGAGCTCATAAATCCAGGCGAGTAGGGAGAAAAGAGAGAGAGATCCTGTTACTCCCACAGCAGTGCAGGAGCCTCGTTAGACACCGGTCAGCGCCGCTGGAGACCCTCGAGACATGAGTGAGTAGAAGCCCAGGCTTGGTCACTTTGTGCTGCAGAGTGGGGCCAGCAGGCTGGAGCCAGCAGGCTGGAGCAGAGCCTGTCAGGTGTTGGTGTGTGGCTCCTGTCCCTGTCCTTGTCCCCGTGCAGTGGCTGCTGCTCCCTAGGGTGGGGGACAGGTTCCTTGAGCAAGCAGAAGGAAAGCTGCATTCCACACACACTTACCTAATGCCGGCTGGACACGAGTGTCTCAGCCCCAGGGTGGGGCTTGGACCTTGCACTGCTAATCCTGATGCTTCAGACACTGGCTCCAGAAGAAGCTGTCAGAGCAGGTTGGAGTTGAGAAATGGCCCTGCATCCCTTTGGCAGCCGCCCTGCACTTGCCAAAGGCATCAGCTCTTACTCACGTTTCCCCGTAGCCAGGAGGAACGGAATAGGAGGTAGAAGACAGGACCCATAACTGAGGGCTCAGGGGATGGCTGAGGTTTGGAGCAGCAGAGGCTTGGATGAAGAATGCCAGTCCAGGGACTGGGATTCAGGAACAGGGTCTGTCCCAGGGAGAGGACCCTGCATGTTCGTTGGCACTGCTGCCTCTCCATCAAGGCCGATATGTGAGATGGGTGTGTTCTGCATGGCTTCAAAACTCTAATAAATACATTTCCTCCCCAGTCTTCAAGCTGTTGGGTGTTCCTTGCTTTTGGGAGGTGCTTTAAATCTGACTGCCAGAGCCGTGGGCTGCTGAGAGCAGAAGCTGCCTGCACGATGCTGAGCTCAGGTCTTCCTCCCGTCCTCCTGGTGCTCTCAGTGCTGGAGCTGAGCTGGTGCCTGAGTGATGAAGAAAAGAAGATCATCTTGGATGAGCATAATAAATATCGCTCCCAGGTCTCTCCTCCTGCCAAGGCTATGATGAAGATGGTAAGTGGCTTTTATTACAGAGGAATATTGGGGTGCTTGTGTGGTCCAAGGCTGGATCTTCATGCAAGGAGGGATCAGGGAGTTCCTCAGGGGAGGCAGAGCAATTCTCATGTAGGGTTACAAGTAGGTGTTAATGGAGGGGTTCCCTAAACTGCCTCTAAAGAGAAGAGTTTCCTTTACCTTTGGAGTGTCTTTGGTCATTTTCTGGAAGTTCCTAAGCATGATGTGAGTCCCCAGATGCTGTTCCATGAGAGTGATGCAGCTCTCACTCACCTGAGTGCCTGCTGGAGCTCCCTGTGATGGCAGGAAGGGCAGGTGAGACCCTGCCATGAGCAGGTGCCATGACCTGGGGACTTTGGCATGGTTTTCCAAGAGGTGGGGGAATCCTGCTGTGTGGGACATCACACAGTGCTGTGTATTTTCCTCTGCAGGTGAAGGTCCTTTTATTTAGTGGAAGGAATGTCACCCTGTCAGTCTAGGTCTTTCCGTTATTTGGACTCATCACACTCCTAGTCCTCACCATGACTTGGTGTCTTAGCGATGCAGGATCCTCTGTTTTGCTTGGGGAAATCAAGTCACATCATCAGTAGGAGCTGTAGTAGGACCAAAAACAAGCTTGGTGCTGGTGCTGCTTTTTGTCTTGTTCAGACTCTTGATTTGATTAGAACTTGGTTATGAAGTTTTATCTTGCACCACATGTGATTTTTCCTCACTGTTTGTAAATCACACAGAGAGGGATAATTGTTTATCATGGAGAGTTGGAGTCCTTTCCTCTTTGGGTCACAGTGTGCTTGGAGGACACCTCCCTGCCTGGCCCAGTAGTTGCCCAGAATGAGTAAAGCCTTTTTGGGCTGCTAAATGGGAGCTTAACAATTTGAAGAAGCAAAAAGTTAAATTCAGGGAGAGAAGGCCTGACCAGTGACTGCAGACTCAAAGGGGACAGAGCCAGAACCCTCAGCACCATGATCCCATCAAACCCACCAGGCACAGCAAACTGAGTATCAGGGCTTTGGAGCCAAAGTCTTAGAGAAAACCTGACAGAAATGATCTTTCAGGGTCCTTAAGTCGATTCCAAACATGTGGGGGCTGCTCCTGGCTGAAACTTTGATTGTAGCCCCTGTGCTTTGAGGTGCTCCCTCTGCAGCTTCTGCTCCTGCTCGCACACACAGGACCTGCTCTTGATCTGGAGCCAAAGGCTTTTTCATTTTGAAGCCCAGCAAATGTTTAGCAGCCCTGACGATTCCTCAGCAGAAGTTTTCCATGCGAACACCGTCCTCACCTCCCTCCTGGGACTTTGCTTGGGCTGGGTTTGCCTCTGGGTTCACCTGCTGCCGTGGCACTGTGCCTGGCTGAGGTCACTCTGTGCCTCCTTTTGGGACATGGGGCTGGTTGCTTTGGAAATATTTAGTTGAAAGCGGGGGAATCTGTAGCCTAAGCCCACTTCACTAATGAGGCAAATCTGCAGGTGTGAGTTCCCCGTTTATGGAGCCCAGCTCTGTGTCAGAGGGAGAGGGGTGTGTGCTCCCCAAATTTGGTCTCCAGCCCTCTCTGTCAGCGTGGCTTGGGGCCATGGTGGGAGGTGAACCAACACTCTGTGTGCCAGCCAGGTGTTTCCTCCCCCCAGTGCCTCCAGGGCTGTCCTCATCCCCTTGACACCCCAGTGGTGACATGCCCTCCTGTCTGGATCCTTTTGGATCCAGCCCTGGCTCTGTCCAGGAAGGTCCCCCTCAGGACCCTGTTTGCATGGCTGCCTTCAGAGCCAAGCTGCTCTCTCCATCAAGGATGGTCCAAACAGCTGCAGTGCAGGATTCCCCATATGCATCCCTGCTTGAAAAGCTCTCCACCTCCTCCTCCTCCTCCTCCTTGTTGTCCTCCCTGTGGCCGGGGGCTCAGCTGGTGGCGGGGCCGCTGCTGCTCCAGAGGGGGCTCCTGGCTGGCAGCCAGGCGGCCACGTCTCGGTTCCAGGCAAACAGATGATGTTTCCCAGGAGCCTGTGCTCCCAGGCTTTGTTCAGCTGCCAGGAGAGATGTGTCCCATTCCCCTCCTATCCCCACCCTGGGTGAGGAGGGATGGCCCCAGACCCCTCTGGCCTGACCCACAGTGGGTTTCCTTCTTTCTTCCATGACTTCATGGTTTCTCCACACTGAGTTGAGGATGCTCCATGATGGTGTTAGATGAGCTCCAGGAGATGTTGTGAGAGTCATACTGGTGCCCTGACCTTCTCCTGTTTGACCCGTAAACCAAGGCTTGTGCTGGGACTGACCATGGAGCTCCCCTCTCCTGAGGACTCTGTTGGGTAGGGGTTTGAATTTTCCTCATGGATGGGGAAACTGCAGCCAGACAGTGCAGGGTGCTTGGTGAGTGCCTTGTTCCTGTTGGAGAGCCCAGTGTCCCTCCCTGTGTGCTGACACCGAGCTCCTTTCAGACCTGGGACAATGAGCTGGAGGCCCTTGCTCAATCCTATGCAGAGAAGTGCATCTGGGACCACAACAAGGAGAGAGGCCGACGGGGAGAAAACCTCTTTGCTATGGCCCCAACCCTGGAACTAGAATTCGCCGTGGAAGACTGGAACGGGGAGGAGAAATTCTACAACTTGACAACATCCACGTGTGTCCCCGGGCAGATGTGTGGCCACTACACCCAGGTACCAGCTGCTGGGGTGGAGGGGTGGCTGCTCAGCAGAGCTGGGTGCCAGATTTTCTCAGACACAGAGATGAAGTCTGAGTGTTTCTTCAGAGACTGGGTAGGAGCAGAGATGGTGGTGGGTCCTGAATGCCAAAGCAACACGGGGATGTGGGATCTGGGGCACACTCTGTGGGATGAGGAGGTCTTTGGAGCAGCCTTTAAGCCAGGGGACTAGTTGCCTTCACCCAATCCCCTCACCTCCACCCTGGTCTTTGCCTTAGGTGGTCTGGTCAAACACGCATCAGATCGGCTGTGGGGCACATTTTTGTGAGAAGATCGATGGAATTGAAACAGAGAACATGCACCTGCTTGTTTGCAACTATTATCCTCCGTAAGTCCCAGGCCCTGCATGGATTGGTGTATCTCAGTGGGGTTTCTGTGCTGGAAATGCCCTGGCTTATGTCACAGCAGGCTTTGTCCTTGGTCAGAAATAGAAGTTGCAAATAATGTTTCTGTTATCTTGGGTTGGTCCCAGACTAAGGAAGGGTTGTCTGGAGGTCCTGGCCCATGATTGTGGCTGCTGAGTGCTGGTTCAACTCCTGGAACACACCCAGGGAGGGACCTTCTTCCCCAAGAGTTGCTCAAGGCTGAGGTGGCAGTAGCTGAGGGTACAAACACCTCCCTGCCCCAGGCCTTGTTCTTCCTGTTGCCTGGGGTGGAGGAGCCCTTTTGCAGCAGCAGGAAGGGTTGGATGTGGGAGGACAGCTGGGTACCCCCTTCCCAGCCCTGGGACCAGCCTTGGCACCACTGTCTTGGAGCTGCTGAGAGCACCAAGAGCAGCCAGAGGCTGCAGACCTTCCTGGGGCCTGGAGAAGAAGTGAGACAGAATTCCCTGTCCCAATATCCATCCCCTGCTCTGTTCTGAGGGGGATGAGGGATCTGCTGCACGGAGTTGTCTGCCCTGGCTTTAGCTGCCTTGGGGTCAGGCTGGTGAGTAAATGGCCCTGACAGGCCGTGGCAGGACACCAAGACCTGTTTGCTACATTAATCCCAAGTTTTGCCTTGGCTGGGATATCCCAGCTGAATCAGCCCCCTCTCTGGGATGGGTGTTTCCCCTTTCCTCATGTCTTCTTTATCTTGGCATTTTCTGCTTCCAGGGGTAACATGAAAGGCAAAAAGCCCTACATAGAAGGACCCTCATGTGAAATGTGCCCCATGGACACAGTCTGTGTGAACAACCTGTGTGGTGAGTGAGGGGAGCCCTGGAGGGGCTGTTGGGACTGAGACCTGGACTGGTCTGAGCTCTGAACCCTCCTGGAGCTGTCAGGAAGCCTCTGAACTTCAGTTCCAGGGCTGGACCATGAGACAGGAGCAATTGCCTTAAGCTAAGGAGGGGCTTGTACCCCATTAGGCAGCATTATTTGCCCCTTGCATGGCAGGAGGTTGTGAGGGCCATGAGATGTCTCCAGATTGGGAACCCCAGAGTGGGGGATGGCCCAGAGTGATCTGAGGGGGGTTGGCTGCTGTTTCAGCCCCTCGTTGGTTTCTGCTGGTCCTGCTCAGTGCAGAGGATCCATGGAGGTGAGCTGAGCCAGCCCTAACCCACGGCACTTTTCATCTCTCACCAGAACTCGTTGTAGAAGAGACCACTCCGGCCTCTGTGACAACAAAGGCAAGGCCATCCACCCCAGCCACAGCCAAACCAGAGCCCACAGCCAAACCAGAACCCACAGCTAAACCTGAACCCACAGCCAAACCAGAGCCCACAGCCAAACCAGAGCCTACAGCCAAACCAGAGCCCACAGCTAAACCTGAACCCACAGCCAAACCAGAGCCCACAGCCAAACCAGAGCCCACAGCTAAACCAGAGTCCACAGTCAAACCTGAACCCACAGCCAAACCAGGGCCCACAGCTAAACCTGAACCCACAGCCAAACCAGAGCCCACAGCTAAACCAGAGTCCACAGTCAAACCTGAACCCACAGAACCAGTTCACACCACAGCTGAACCAGAACCCACAACAGTGTCCACCACAGCCAAATCTGAACCCACAAAACCAGTGTCTACCACAGCCAAGCCAAAACCTACAACCACACTCCCAACCACAACCACAGCCAAGCCACCACCCACAGCCACACTCCCAACCACAGCCAAGCCCAAACCCCCAGCACAGGCACCCTTCAGCACAGCCAAGCCAAAACCTGCCAGCACGCTCCCAACAGCAACCCCAGCCAGGCCAAAACCTACAGCACCAGCAGCCACCACAGTCATGGCCAAACCAAAACCCACCATGTCAGCAGCCACCAGTACCAAACCAACACCTACCACAACCACTACCACCACCAAACCAACACCCACCACACCAAACCCCACCACAACCACCACCAAACCACCACCTACCACAACCACCACCACCACCAAATCAACACCCTCCACACCAAACCCCAGCACAACCACCACTACAGCCAAGCCAAAGCCAACCACAACTATGGCCAAGCCAACACCCACCACACCAAAATCCACCCCAACGGTAGCTAAGCCAAAACTTGCTGCTACAACACTAGCACCTGCCACAACAGCAACGACACAACTGAAAACTGCCACAGCCACAAAGCCAGAACCAGAAAGACCTGATCCTACTGAGGCCACCAGCATCACTCTTTCCTTTGAGCCCAGCTTAGACCCAGACTATAAAGTATCTCCAGAGGCAGACACCGGAGAGCCTTTTAGCTCCTTCACTACAGAGGACCCAGCCTTATTAGAAAGCATGGGCACAGCCTTCAGCCCCAGATCAGTCCCAGAAATAAAGAAAGGTGCCAAAGAGCATGGGAAAGAGAAATCAGCCTTTCCCAGTCCATCTCCATCCCTCAGCCAAGCTGTTCCAGAGATGAAGCTAGGTTTCAATAGAGCTGAGCTCATAACCCCCTCCAAGTCAGTGGTCCTCAGCCCTGAAGAGCCCACGTTCTTGCGCTTAACATCATCCTCCAAAGACAAAAAAGGGCCGAGCCCCCATTTCCAGACCTCCCTCTCAGGTAAGGCAACCGTGGAGTTTGTCCTGGCATGGACACTCGGACATTCAGGGATCCCCAAGCAGCATGGAGAGGGCTTGGGAGGAGCAGTGTCAGACTGGTCCTTTGGATCCTCCTCTTGTATGTGGCACCAAGACTTTTCCTCACTCTTTCCTCTAACCCTGGTTGGATAGTTGGATGTCTCATCCCTGCAGCATGGTCTCATTCACAGCCTGCTCCCACTAACGCACAGCTTCCCTGGACCAGAGCTCTGCTGCCTCACGGACCCTCGGGGCACATCATGGCACACCTGCATGAGTGGGAGCTTCTCTTGTGCCAGATCTTCCCCTCTAACTCCACATTTTCCTCTCTTCCTCCAGCAGGTGCCCTGGACACAGAAGAACAGGAGACAAACTCAGACCAGACAAGTGTGGATCTGCCCAAAGGAGGAGCCCCCAGTACCTGCTTGGGCCTTTCGCTCTTCCTCCTCCCCAGTGCCATCCTGGTGGGCCTTCTGCTCTGAAGGGTCTTCCTCAGCTGTCCCTGCACCCCTCAGCAAGGCTTTTGTCAGTGCTGGTTGTTCCACAGCCCTGGTAGGCTCAGGAGGCTCCTTGGACAATTCACACGCTCCCTCCTTACGCTGCCTTCTCTGCTGCTGCCCCGGCGAGCCAAGGCTGATGCTGGGGGAACTTTGTCCCCTTCCTGAGGAGACCTGAGGACAGGAGGGTGTTTGCCATAAAGCTGGTGACCTTGGATGCTTCTCCTTTTTCCTGGCTTCTCTTCCATTTCCAGGCTGGAAGTGTTGAGTTCTCCCACCCATCTGCCCGTGTGGTTGGCAGGCCCTGCCACAGCCTGACCCTGGGGACAGGAGGGTGACTTGGGGACAATGAGACATGGTGGTTGGCTTTGGTGTTTGTAGATGAAATGCAGTGGTTGGCTTTGGTGGTGTTTTTTCCAACAGAAATGCTCTTTTCCCTCCCAGTGTGTCCGTCTCAATTTTGGACAAGTTTTACCTCTTTCCCTTCTTGTCCAAATAGAGTGGCTTTTTGAGGATTTCTGTTTCCTCCTCGTTCTGGTGGAGCTCTGGCCAGTACTGCCCAGCTGTTCCCCCTCTCCTCCTCACACTCTGCAGCCCTTTCCTCCTCCCAAGCCACAGATTTATTTTACGCGTGTGCCTGCACCTGTGTGCTCGCACAGAAGAGAAACCTTCAGAGCTGAGAGAGGCCACCAGCTCCTTCATGTAGCTTTTCCCTGCATGGCTTCATTCTTTGCATAACTGCAGTGTATTTGAATTTAGATACAGATTCCTCTTGATGTGTAACTTGTGTGTGTGTGGTCAAGGAGAACAAGTCCCCACTTGTGTTGGTACAGTCTGAGCTCCAGAGGTACAAGTGACATTGTTAGAGGTTATTGGTGGCTCCTGGGCCCGTTGCAGGACCACTGGCATTGTCTGGGCCATTGTGTTTTGTTACCCCACGTCTCTCCTCCCTTCACCTGAGGGTTCCCAGTCAGGTGTGTTAAACATGTGCCAAGCTTTGCAGACAGATGGAAGGAAGATAATGGGGAGATGCAGCCCCTTCTCTGGACATTGCAACCTTTCATTTCTTACAGAAGAGGTGGAGGATGACCTGAGGGCCATTACTCAGATCCTCCACTGCTGCTCTGTCCTGTGCATCCCCAGAGCATGCACTGAATAAATCCTGTTGTGAAAGTCTGTTCACTCTCTCTCTGGGGGATCTGGACACCTGGGAGCTATTTACTATACCTGTAAAATGCTCTTCATTATGTGCTTACATAGAACTGCTAAAAAAAGGCATGACTTCTGTGGCTCTTGAAGGGGTTTTTTGGCTTTCCAAAAGCATCCATGTGCTGCTTTTTGTAAGGGTGTAACTTAATGTTTTTAAACTTTTGTAAAAGCAGCAGGAGGCCATGGGGATTGAGGATGACGTAGGGAATTTTTCTTGAGCATCCAGCTGAGTGTAAAGTAAAAATGTGTCCCCACCAGGAATTCTTGGGCAAAGGAAGCAAGAGAAAAAGGGCTCAGAGCAAAACAAGAAATAAAAACTACGGCTGGAGCACATCTGGTTCCCTGTTTTAGGAAGCCCAGCACAAACCTCTCACACCCTAAACAGGATTTTATCTTTGCAGCACAGAAAAAAGTTAAATACAAGTGCAAGTCCACAGATTCTGGGTTTTTGCAGCATTTTCACCTCAGAACATCCATCTGGGAGCAGCATAAGGGGCAAGGCCTTGAGAGGCAGAATCAGCACTGGAGTGATGCTGGTACCTGACTTTGCCTTTTGATTTTCCCCATCCTCCTGCTGCTGCTTTTCCCAGCAGAGCTGCCCTGCAGCTCCACATTCCCCGTGTCCCGAGCCCGGGCTGCAGGAGCCGGCAGCACCAGCCGTGTGCAGGAGCCCCGCTGCCTGCGGGCTGCTCCGAGCTCCCAGCCCAGCCAGGTTTTTACTAAAAGGAAGTGCCTGTTCCTGCCTGCCATTGTGGTCAGGGATGGTGTGGGTGCACCTGTGCCATGTGCTGTGGGATCCTGGCTGGTGAGTCAGGTGGGAATCCCACAGATCCATGGGTGTAAGCTCAGCCGGGCTGGTCACCCTCCTGCCGGGCAAAGCTGCCCTTTCCTTTGTGCCAGGATCCATTGGAGCAATTAAACATTACCTGGGCTGGTTTCTTAGCCCTTGATGGGATTTATTTGGGTTAGCGAACCTTGTGTTCTCCTCTTGCTGGTATACACATTATAAACATGTTTATAGCAAGGACTACCCAGGGCAGAGAGAAGCCCAACCTGCAGCCATTGATCTGACTGAGGGTGAGGAAGCAGGTCTGGCTTTGTGTAGGAGTTGTGCAAAAAATTTGTGTCAGGAAAGCACCTGCTGGCAGCCAACACACGTCTCAGCTGCTTGGCCAACTCAATCGGGTCCACATCCTCATCCCGTGGCTTCCCTTTCACACCCAGGATTTTGGTCAGTCAGGAACAGTGATCACCCCTCGAGAGGTCCCAGTTTACCAGCCAAGCTCACTTCAGGGCAATAAAAAGACTCTGTTTTAAAAAGGACAAACCAAGTTTATTTTCATGAGGGAATATCTCCCGTAATATTTTATTCATGGCTTCCAGCTCACACAGTTCCACTCTTTGAGATTCTCTGAGTTAATATCAATGCCATGGAGGGGGACTGAAGGGATTCCATCTGGGACATGTGGAATTAGCTCTTTTCCAGGGGACACCTCTCCAGATGAAGTGGATATGCTGCCCTGTTCCCATGCTTCTGCTGCTATTTTGGTACCTTCCAGGCAATCTGCGGGCAGCAGCCCTGCCCCTGAGCAAGCAGCTGGAGGATAATAATGCAGCTCAGAGGACCAAGCTGTAGTTTTGCACAGCAAGTCGCCAGGACTGCTGAAAAGCCAGATTTATGGAGAGAGGGCTGCATTCCTTCGCCGCTTGCAGCTGCAGCATCCCCACCCAGCAGCTGTGTCCCAGCTACGCCCTGTCCCAGCAGAGGGGCCTGAAATGAGCTGCTTCGTTCTGGGGACTCCCACGGCAGCCAGGTCTGCCTCTCCCTGGGCCTTTGCTCAGGGTGAAATTTGAGGGCTCCAATTTCTCTGTGCTCTCTCCCTCCCACTTCATCTGAGAAGGTGTCCTCTGCTTGCCCTCGCTCCCCGGTGTCTCGGATCTCAGTCTCCCTGGCAGTAAGATGGTCGTGATAATGGCCTGAAATGTCCTTCCTGGTGCAGTCCTGCTCGTGTTACAGCTCCACTCCTGGTCTTGATCCTACTTACTCTGGAAAACAGCAGAGGGATAGTCCCATCTGCTCCTAAGAAACAGAAGAGTTAACAGTTCCCTGCCCCTTGCCAAGGGCCAGAGCTCTGAAGCGTGATGACTTCTCACATGTCTGTCATCAGGTGACTCCCTGGGAGAACCCAGAAGGATTAGAACCTGCTCCTTTTGCCTCATGTTTCCTCCTTACCTGTCTCCACTTTAGGACAAGATTTTAGTCTGAATCATTGGTTCATCCTATGTAAATACCCAAGAGCCCCAAACTTCCCTGACAGGGTTTGCATGTGAGGCAGTTCAGTTGATAAGGGATTATCAGATCAGAAAGAACCACCCTCTAACTCTGTTCCATGGGACAGCCTGGGAACTTGTCCAAAACAAAATGCACTTCCTGAGCAGGGGCCAAGCAGCCAAATCTGATCAGCTCCCAGGGCTCTGAGTCCACAGGCTAAGCTTGCCCCTGGGTCTGATTCTGAACCCAAACTTCAGAACTGAGCACAAAAAAATTAAATCATGAGCTCAGATCTGTCCCATTTACACAAAAGTATCTGCTCCCCTCCAGACCTGAGGACAGACCAGAAAAGATCAACACATTTAAACACTTTACAGCTTCAACCTATCTCCTGCAAAAAAAGAATAGAATTGAACACTGGAAGCTGCTGTGCAAACTCATTTCCCTGGTTCTTTTGAATCTTAAAAAGAGGTGGGTTCCCTGGAAGCAGGTGGTTCCATGCTCCATTGCCTGAGGCATGAAGCAATTCCTGGAAGAATGCAATTCTGGATGCTGTAAGAGAAACACCCACTGAGTTGTTTAACAATGCCATGCTGCTTTTTTGGATCCTCCACAAAAGAAGCGATGCCTCGGGAGCTCCTCCGTGGTTTTGCTGCTCTTTAAGGAAGGCAATAGACTGTATAGTTATCACCTGAAATGGGATCAAATCCCTCCCACCAAACTATACAACCTACTACCTCACCTCCACAGAGCAGAACAGACGGGTCACAGGCACGGATTTGCTTTACTTGCACCACCTGCCCCCACAGCTGGTGTAGAAGTGGATGAGCAGACCTGAAGACCTGACTGTCTCCTTAGGAAAGACAGTAGATTGTATAGTTAGCTCAGAGGGAGGACCAGACTCCACAACTATTCAATCTACTACCTCAGCCTCAAGGACAGCTTGGGACCGTGGCAGTCTAAGGCACTGAGATGATTTTTATCCAGGCACTGAGATGATCCTTATCCAGGCACAGAGATGATTTTTATCCAGGCACTGAGATGATCCTTATCCAAGCACTGAGAAGATTTTTATCCATGCACTGAGATGATCCTTATCCAGGAACAGAGATGATTTTTATCCAGGCATTGAGATGATCCTTATCCAGGCACTGGGAAGAGTCTTATCCAGGCATTGGCTGCTGCGCAGGTCCTGCAAAGAGGAATGCATGAAAAATCAGAATTCTTGATGGCAGGGGAGAGGACTCATAGCCAGCCTTGTCCTGGAGCTCTTTCTCCTTCTTCAAACCTCCTTCAGCCCACTTGGACAATACCTTGTGCTTGGCAATCACATCAGCTGCAGACTTCATGCACCCAAGGGTGCACAAAAGCAGCAGCCCTGCCCTTGGAACCTGGGGCTACCCATGGAGATAGCAGAGCTCTCGGGAAGCTGCAGCAGCGCCAAGCACACCCAGCCAGGCTGACCTCACCTCCTGAACACACAGCGTATCTAGAACAAACCTGCCAGACCAGATAAGAGAATCCATCAATTTAGCTGCTGTGCACTCCAGGGAATTGAGCAGATTAGAAATAACTAAGTACAAGGAAGCTTTTAGGCTGCAAATGTAATGGTATCGAGTACATCAAGGCAGATCTTATTTCCTAAACAAATGAGTGCAACATGCAGCCGTGCTGTCCCTCTAATGCTCCAGCCCAGCCAAGCAGTATTAGCATGGATCTGAGACAGACTGGCTTCCCCCCAAGCCCTTGGCTCACCTTCTGAGGCTTCTTCACTCTCTGTACACCCAAATACAGAGGCGAGGTATTAATCTGGTAGTTTGAAAGAAATGTGTAAGGCTCTTTTGCAAGGAGAAGAAAGAATTCCCCTTGGAGATGAAAGAAGCCCTAACGACGAGGGAGCCACGCCAGGCAGGCTGCATGTGCAGCCCAGCACAGTCCCAAAGGATAACTTCCCATGGGAGCTCAGCAGGAGATGTCCCCAGCCTCCATGAGCACCTGCTGAGTGCTGTGGTGGGAGAGGAGGGGGCTCAAGCAGAAGTCTCCAAAGGGATAAAAGCTGCCTAATGCTTTGTGCTTCCACAGCTACCAGGCAACAGGCTAAATAATCCTAAAGATTTGGTCAGCTACTGTAGCTGGAATCTTTGTGAGAGTTTAGGATGGCCTCAGGTACCAGGGTATCTCTGTAGCAAGGTTTGGAAGTGCCCTCTTCCAGAGCTCTCCACAGGCTCTCCTCACTGGCATTCACACAGTCCAGGTAATTCTCTTAATTTCCTTTGACAAACTGGTGCTTGACGGGGAATGACCCACTGTGCTGGACCATCTGGCCCAGGCCTCTCCTGGTGTAACAGGGCGCGAACAACGTCAAAACCCCAACGTGGCAGAACTGGTTCCTACAGCACTGGAGTGCCCGGCCATCCCTGCTGCCAAGTGCATCCCAAACAGCCTCCTGATGGGAAATGCTGGTTTTATCAGCATAAAAAGTGATGCACAGGGGTTGCACATCCCTCCTCAACCAGCCAGAGCTTCGTTGAGGTGACAGCCAGGCTTCAGGGTCCTTCAGGGTCCATCAGGTCTGTCACTGCCCCCTCCATGGGGACAGAAGGGTTAGTTTAAACTAAAATGTTTCAGCTTCCCAAAAATTAAGCTGCTGCCACAAGCATCAAGCAGAAGAGTGGCAAGAAAACCACCAGATG